TCATCCCTGAGCACTGGCCATGTTGGCTAGAGCTGATGGGATTTGGAGTCCAACCACATATGTGGGGCCACAGGCTTCATTTCCCCCAATTTGGAGTAAATTAATTACAGGGCTCTCATCTTTTTATAATATGTACAGGGATTTGTGCAGTACAAATAACTAAGTGAAATTAATTAACCAGATGCTAGATACAGCCAATAAAAAGGGTGTGGTTTCTTAACTTCTTTTCTGAACTAGCCTCAAAGTGACTTTCAACAGATTTCAATAATATTTGAAACCAATGCAATATTTAAAAGCCAGCCCCTCTCACAAGGAAGTATTAATCACTACCCTGGCCCGGTCAGCTGTCCTCTCCCTGCTACTTTTTATCAGCAATGAGGGGCAAGGAGCAAGAGCCTGCACCAAACCAAGCACTGTCTCCATATCTTCAGACTTTGCTAAGATAGCTGGACTACATAGTGCTCTGCATGCCTCTTGAGATTCATCTCCTGTATCAGCAGTGTCAAGGTCCTGGCTGATGCAAGTGATTTCATCCTCAAAATGTTTTGCAAATGAGTCACAGAGAGCTACCACTGGTTCTACCACCTACTTTGGACCAGATTGTAAAGGGCCCCATACTACCCAGAAAATCACTGCCAGATAGCATGGTGAGGATGCACTGGAGGCAGCAAAGTATGCCTTCTTTATTGCCTTCACTGTCACTGAGTAAACTTGATAATAAGCACTCGCCAGTGTTTGATTGCATTTGTCTGTAGTTTTCCTCCACTTGTGTTCAAGCCGTCTCCCAACTTGTTTCAATGCCCTGAGTTCTGGAGTACACCAAGGAGCCAAGCAGACTATATGAAGCTCAGGGGTGATCATGTTATCCATGGCCCAAGCCATTCTCATGTTCTACAAATTGGCCAGGGTTTCAACAGGAGCACCAGTCATATCAGCCAGAAAATATTCTAGAGCTGCTTGGAAGACAATTGGATCCATCAGCCTCCAAGAAGGGACCATCCTAAAAAAATCCCCTGCCTCTGCAGGAGGTAAAAGGTACTGAAAGCCTAAATCTACCCAGCAACAGTAGCTGGACTGAAGTGCTCTTTCAAGCAAGGAGTGGGGAATCAAGCACTCCCACAGCCACTGTTTCTTTGACCAACCTGGTTTTTCCCTTTCTGCAGTGTTCTTCCTAGAAGACAAGTGATGCAATCTCCAACAAACCCTTAGGTCTCAGGTCAGTAGAAAAGGCCAAAGCATATTCCCTTCAGTTCTGCAGACCCAGGGCTACTCCCATCCCTGCCTGAAAACACATGAAGGTGACAGATTCCTAGTAATTTGTTCGTATAGGTTTTTTCCCATCATTGACCATCACTACACTCACCTGGGGCTGATGGTGCCTGTGAAACCAACAGCAGTTATCCACAGATTAGGTGTGTGCTATCATTATAAGCTAATGATTCTGTGTGCCTTGCTTCTGTTTATGGTTTTGGTCTACCACAAGGCATAAGTACAATAAGAGCAGGATCCAGACAGCTCTCTTAATTGGGAAAGCAGGGACACGATGAAGGGCAATTTTACATGCCATCAGCTGATCTCATCATCACATGGAAAACTGACAACATTGTGGGGAAGGAAAGACAAGGAAATGATGGTCATGAACTTGTTCAATTAAAGAAGAAAAAAAAGTCATTTGAATTTTAACGTAAGCTGCTGTTTCGCTTCATATTTATAGAAAAATGCTATTTAATTCCCACAGGTATACAAAGCTGTAACACTTAATCATTAGGGGGTTTTTTTCCTGAATAAAATAACCCACACATTTTGTATTTTGGTTTATGAGATACATTCACACATTAGTGTCATCTTGTCAAGTTCTTCTCCAAGGCGTTCAGAGGTGGAAGACAATTTAAACACTGACAGCCAAGTTCTTCAGGATTGCAGATGCAAGAGCTTTGGAGGGGAAATGTTTAAAAGCACTGCGATGATGTCACAAATGTGTGAGTACAGGAAGATCTCCATGATGCCACATCAATCCACTCACAGAGAATCTAGTTAGCACTGAATATACAATTACCCCAAGCCAAGAAAGTAATCAGACCAAACTCTCTTTCCCCTCCCTGCTCCCCTCCCCTGCAACTCGCTTCACCTAGTGCTTATCAATAAATATGAAGCACTCTTCATTTCAGCAACACAAGAACCTGCTAACACAAACAATTGCTAAATAGCTGAGCTGTTTTGAGCACAGACGCAAAACAGTATAGCTGCTACTATGCCTTAATGAAATTAATTTGCGATCAGCTATGTGGTAGCAACAGGAGCTCAAACCTGTTGCTGGTGAAATTCATAGCAGTAACTAATAAATGCAACATTGCAAGGCAAGACCATGTTTTGTAAAAAGTGCCTCATGGAATGGGAACACACCTAAAATACACATCTCCAGAGCCCGACAAGGCTACAGCTGCAGCAGTCATTCAAGCATTCCTCTTTGTCTGTTCAGTGCTAGCAGGTGTCCTTTGAAGATAGTAAGCAATATGAGCAGTTTGCATCCAGCAAACTAGTTCTGTAGAGCACTTAAGCAAAAATATACTGCATTCATTGAGGATTTCTGAAAGTAGTTTTACCTTCAAAGTCAGAAAAGGGAGACGACTCTAAAATCTTATCCTTTATGTTTATATGTTTTGCATTTGTGATATTTTTACCAATGTTAAATAAATAACCATAAAGGAGAGAATGCCTCTTCTGAGATGGCACTGATGCTTTCCAGAGCTGCATGGTGATGCATACATGAGTCACAGGAAGCATTGTCAGAGAAAAGATATCATGGTTTGGCTTAGCATTTCATCCACTCTCTTGGTCAGCCAAGAACAAAACCTTTGATACAGTGGGTGGTTTGTCTGGAGTGAGTTTGACTTAGCATTACATGCAAACCAGGCCTATGTAAATCATCTCTTCAGCCTAAATGAGTGGATACTGCCCACCAGTTTAGGGATGGCTCAGAAAGAATCTGTTCAAGAACTGTAGCTGAGTCAGTGTTGTTATATTATCTTAATTTGTATGCTGCATTTCCACATAACTATGCCCTAAGTGATGAATAACACACAAACTAACACCTATCCATGCATCACTACAATAGACAGTCTGGTACAATTTCATTTAAAATCCAAATATAACAACTCAACTCAACAATACTAACATTGTGAAATATTAAGTTCATTACAAGGTCAGCAATGTTAGTTCCCGAAACATTGACCAGTGCCCTGTGCTCATGAATTGCAATGTTTCCTGAAGTCATAAAAATGAGCAATTTTTCCAAGTGCTGTCTAATTTGTTAGCAGCTGTAACAAGCAGAGAAACACTTGATTTTCTTATGATTTTTTTTTATTGTTGGAAATGAAAATGCAGACATTAAAATTCAATTCAACAACCAATTATAGCAACCAATATCTTCAATACCACTAGCAAAATAGATAAATAAGGTTTTTAATGGCTCTCACCAACCTGACTTCAGTTGAAAATGGTGGTTCTATAACTGAAGTGTTGGCATTTCAAGACTGAAAACTTGGGATGTAAAACACTAGAAACTGGATTCATACATATCAGTTACTTCATACACAATAGACAAAATACAGTGCAACCACAACAATCAGCACACCTATTGTTATACAGACAGCCATAAAACCCACCACAGGGCTATGAAACTGAACACAGGTGACATTAGAAGGAAAATCCATTTCCCTTTGCCTCAATGGCAAACATAGCAGTCTTATGTTACAAACATATACCCTCTTACCTGGAAGTAAGTCCCATTGAACTCAATGGTTCTTACTTCTGATATGTATAGGATTGCACTGTTATTCAACCTTCTGCCAAGTATGACATACTGAGAAGCTTAAGTCAGCCAATAAAATGTCCTAACACCATCAACACAAACTAAATGGGATAGATTTTGCTGTTCAGACACCCATGAAAGGCAACCAGACTTCAATAGTAACTGCATTTCTTCATAGCTTTGCACACAGCAAATGGAACATATAGAAACAAGACAAGAAGAAACCATTCAAGGCCAAACCTCCTTCTCAGCAGAAGGATATTCCAAAAATATCCACTGGTGAGCACCTTACTTTTGCCACACAATGTCTTCTCTACAGCTACCCAAAAAGGCTTTCTTTTAGAGCACGTAGCATTGGTGTTTGTGGTTTGTTTTTGTTTTTTACAAAATGAAGATCAATTGACTTTCAACTGCTCAGTGTAATGATCTGTCAGAATCAAGGTTTTCCATTATGGAGGGAGCCTCCACAGACACAAAGGTTCTCTGCTGTAGAAGTTAACTTTCATCCCACAAAGCAGACAGGAGAATTCACACAACACTGGGGACAGGGATAAACACACACCTCTGCTGCACCTGTATTCCCACATAGCGTAATAACAGCTGTACAGGGCACCTATTAAAAACAGGAAGTATTCTTCCTCATCAAGTTTGTAAATTATCCCAGGAAACATGAAACAGGATGTGGCTATCCAATAGCTTAATTATTCTATTTCCTTCAATTAAAGACCATTTTTAAAAGCAAATGCAACACATTTGACCGTTCTACACATAATGCTAACAAGCATTAATTACATTGAAATGCTGTTTTCACAGTTACCATCGGAAGAGTCTGGGAAGAGCAAATTGTCACTCCCATCGCGAGGAAGAACGTATTCAAACAAGGTCAGCACAAAGTTAACAATATTGCTTACTACAGGAGACATTTGGCACAGAGTCAGGAACGGCAGGAAAGTGAATGTTTTTGACAACCAATTTGCCAGATAATTTCAAGACCCTTTGGAAGTCAGATTATCAGGTAGTAATGAAAATCAGCTGCACAGAAACAGACTGATAGCAATAAGGATACATATAAGAACACATTTAATTTTACACAGTGTTTTGTAAAGGTTAGAGCATTCAAAAAATATATTTGTGGAGAAAGGGGATACGAATTTTAAAAGGCATTCAATTGTCAAAAGTAAGTTTTTACCTTTTTCTGATCTTCTAGCTTGTGGCTGAGCGGATTCCTTCCATGCCTGCTCATTTCTGAAGGTAAATCCATCACATCCGTTCCTTGTCCCTCAAAATGGAATTTGTACCTTGGACACCAAACTAATCCACAACGTATGGGCTATGGACACAGAGACGCACTGCTTTTTCCATCACACACCTTAGTGGAAATTCACCACCTCCAAGGAATGGTTTAAAAATCCAGTGACTGGGTAGAGGAAATAAATTTCACGATTCTCTCTTCGGACCTTCTGAATCAACATATCGTTCTTAAAAGACAATACATCCAAAGAGAAATGTTCATCCGCTCCTTTAAGCTCCAACTGTTATCTGTTGCTTCCTATACAAGCTTCCATTTTTAAAGGTTACATCCTGTCTGTGAATCTGTTGAGGAGGGGGGAAAGACATTTAATTATTACTATATTTTTCTTTTTATATGTGGAAGAAGCTGGTTAACTGAGAAGCAAATTACCAGTAAAAATATAGTATACACAAAAGGTTTATTTAGTCATTTCCTCAACATATATACTGAGAAATGTCCCATCAAAGAGTCCAGTGGGTCTTATTTCCAACTAAGTGTGATTGCCCAGTCTTCCCTTTTGCCCAACACAACGTACTGAACAGCCTTTAAAGTAAATGCATTTATCGGAAGCCCCATTGGTTTCAATGCAGTTTCCAAGGATGAAGCTGCAACCTTATGGCCAATCCTCAAAAAGTGTGAAATTGCAGCTTTTAACCCCTGGCTCATAACCAACAACAGAGCAACAGCACCTTGAGCAACACAAAGCTAGACTAAGCTAGACCTGTCATCTTCCATGGCAGGTAGGTGCATGAAGTTATCAGGCAGTTCAGATCTAGGCAGCTTTAAGGATGAAGGGTCTCAAGACTTGCTGGTAGAGTGACGGAACACTTTTGAGGTCCACCTGCAAACACCCACTCGGAGTTGTGGAGCCCTGGGAGGTGGTGAAGCACCCTACTCACCCAAGAGGGTGATGTTCACGGGAAGGCAGTACCTTCCCTTAAACACTACCTTCTTACCTTGGCAGCGCTGGCTCACAGAATTTGTTGTGTGCAGTTAGCATCACACAGCCTGCTTCCTTTCTGTAAATGTGTTGCACTAATTTAATGAATGTGGCCCAGTTCACCTAACCTTTGTGTCTTGCCTCCTTATTTCCATACGAGGTCACCATCAGTCCTTTAGTCACTGCCTTGTGAATCAGACTAGCCCAGGCTTCCTCAACCTCGGCCCTCCAGATGTTTTGAGACTACAATTCCCATCATCCCTGAACACTGGTCCTGCTAGCTAGGGCTCATGGGAGATGTAGGCCAAAAACATCTGGAGCCCCTTACCACAATCAAGAAAGCTACAGAAAAAAGACAGCAACAGCATCTTAAGGACAAAACAAGATGTGATGGCAACAGACCCTTTCAAACTCATGTTTCTACTGATAAATCAGACATGTGGTCTGAAAGGAAAAATGATGCATTGGGGGCGGCGTGCTAGTTTGACTTTAATGTAAAGTAATTAAGAGATAGAAAAACAGAATTCAGTGGTTTGTACCTTTTTGTAGAAGGACATAATAGATCAATGAAGTGATAAAATGTGTAACTATAATAATAATAATAATAATAATAATAATAATAATAATAATAATAAGTAATAGCAGCTGATGCTTGTTTTCAAGTATATGCTAAAATCTGTAAAATATTGATTTACTTAGTGCAATTAAAAACTAAATTCAATTTGTATTAACTATTTTAAAAAAGAAAGTTTCTGTGATTTTAAATATTCATTTTAAGTGCATAATATTTTCAGAACAGCACTGTCTTGTGAAAAGTTAGGGGGACATAGTTGAGATGATTTTTCTTCATTTATCCTTGGACCACTATTTTCCAGTAGGTTGGAGCTGTTGTTTTTCTTTTAATCAGGTAAAACTTTTGGTGTCAAGTTAGAATTCTGCCATATTTCTTGTAGAATTCAGGAAGACTAATCAAGGCCTGCATGCTAATCCCTGCTAATCATGGCCTGCATGCTTCAATAATAATGCACAAATTCTTATAAAACCCCAGTGTCACATTTCATGTCTTGTCTGTCTGCATAGTCAAAGAAGTTTGCAAAGTTACAAACAAAATTATAGAATGGACTAACATTAGCATTTCACCTCGGGGTCTTTTAATGCCATTGCTTTGTGAGATGTGTCTTGTGGGAGGGGCACTATTTTTCAAGGCGGAGGAGTCCCCTATCATTTATCGTCTACCAAAAGCTGGAGTCTGTCTTGATTCATAGAGTCCCCCAGAGCCACTTATCACTGGCCCAGCAATTTGTTATTTCCACACAAAGCATTCTCTGAAATTGGCTTGGATTCTGGCTCTACCCCTGTCAAAAAGTCAAATGAATATGCCCTCTATCTTCTCCCTGCCTCATTTTCGAGTAAATAGCATCTTCCCTGTACAGATTGAGATGCCATGCACAGGACCCCAAACCTTCTGTTATTTATCATTTTGTTTCAGTCTTGGAAAGGCTGCCAAGCAAGTATGTCCTTCCTTTTATCTCCTCCATCATTCAATTTGTTGGTCACCGAGCAGAAGAGAAAGAAAATATATCCAAGCTGTACTCTAGACAGGTAGTCAATAACAATGTACGCTCACCCTGCTTTTCATTGCAATTTTCCTATGGGTTTAATGTGCAAGATAGGTGTGTCCAAGGCACAACAAAACCTACACCATGGATTAAGAGTGAGTGACAGTCTTGAAAACAAACAGGGATATTACTTGAAGGCTAAATTGCTGGGGACACAAGGCTAAATTGCTGGGGATACCCTGGATGAGTTTTTCTTTTTCTTTCTTTCTTTCCTTCCTTCCTTTGATAATTAAAAATCAGAGATATAACCATTTTATAGTAAAACAAAACAAAGCATTGCACTGATTATGTAGTATTAAAGAACTATTTTGCTCAGTATTGGAGATAAAACTCCTACCAACCATGAGCAACACTTTTCTTGAAAAGGCAAGTTGCACATCTGAGGCTGGGACAACAGCAGCATGATGAATGCACCAATACAGGTGTAGCGATCCACACAGGCCTTGCTCCATTCCCTCTTCAAGTGCTTCTGTTTGGCTACAATGTATTATTGCATTGTGGTAATGCAGGAGTTAAGGAAGCTTTTTCAGTTCAAGGGCTACATTCCCTTCTGAGCAAGCTTCCTTGGGTCACAAACCAGTGGTGGGCAGGGTCAGAGGCAAAAGTGGCCAGAGCAAAAATTTTACCTTTGTACAATAGGCTAGTTTATACACACACACTCACACAACCCTCTTTATCCTCCATCTAGGCAAGCAAGAGGCATTACCATCATAGTTCAAGGATGAATTCCAGCCAGGCAAAAACACGCAAGCAGGGTGCAAAGCTGGGCTAACTAGGGGTGTGGCCTGAGCGTCCCAACAACTAGACAGAGAGGCCCAGAGGGTCATTTGCAGCCCTTGGCCTCAGGTTCCCTCCCCCCCCCCCACCACCGGTAATAATGCCTCTTTTATTGACTGAATGGAGGGGTGTGTGCGCACCACTTTGGGCTCTGTCTGGCCACTCTGTATAGACCCAATAAAATTACTGGACATTACTAACTCAGGTTCATTAGTTTCAGCGGTTGAATACAACCCATTTTAGAAGTATAAAAAGTAGACATAAGGGGTATTTATTATATTCTCTGGTATTCATTCTATTCTCTGGTATTGCGGTGCCCTGTAATAAACAGAGCAACTCAGATACAGGAATGATCTTTGGCTTAGCTCAGCAAAGAGAACTGCTATTTAACTCACAGCACTCTATCATCCTGACAGCAGCAGTGAGGAGGACCATGCAGATCAGGTAAGGAATACAAGGTACAGAGAGCAAGAAAATCAGACAGGAAGTTGTACAGTAAAGCAGAGAGAAGTGTGCTGTAAGAGGACCAGTGAGAAAGGCAGGCAATAGTTTCTAGTAATAAGGTGGGAGATGGGTGCTGCAGAAAACATAATAAACAAGGCAGTGGTTATAACATAGCTCTGGTACTAAAGCTTCTCCCAATGTCCTTGAGGAGCAATCAGTAACTAGGTAGCCCTTTCTTCATATTTCATTTCCCAAAAAGCAACATAGTTATGCAATACATGGAGAATGAATGGCACACCATCACTTTTGGATGCTATTATTATAATGCAAAACAAAACAAAAGGTGGGACACAGGGTCATAGCAGTTGCTATATTGCATCACATTAGAGATCCATCTGAACACAGCAAACTATATTCAGCAGAGGTAGCCAAATACCCAGACTCAGATTACAAACAGGGCATGATGAACATAGCCTTCCCTAGAGTTTGTTCCCAATTCTGGTAAGCAGAGCTTATAGGGACACTGCATGTGTCATTAGTGGCTATGGAAGACTGACCACCATACAGTTATGTTAATTGTTTCTGGAGTTAGTGGGTCTCAGAGCACCCTAGAGAAAAAAATCTATGATGACAACAAGCCCAAACATAAGCACACTTGAAGCTCATCAAAATCAATGGGTGTTAAAAGTGCACTCAAACCTGCAGTGACTTCTGACCCTTGTGCTTATCATGAATTGGGTAAGGAATAATTTGTTTGTTTTAATTTAACCTGTGTCAATTGATTTGACCAATGCCTGTGAGTTTCTTTATTTTCAGAACCTGAGGTTACAAAACTAGAGCAAGGAAATAAGGTCTATTTGAAGTGTTAATACTTACCTTTTTCATTTTTCAGCACAATGCAACATTGCCAATTTAACAATGAGCCACAGTGGTACACAGTATATGAGTATTAGCCCCCACACCCTAGAATAGAGACTCACACAAGAAGATGGTATTAAATGACCACAACTTTATTAGCAGTACGAAAGAATCTGCAGCATGGGACTAAACACCTGAAGGCTGAATTTTGGAAGATAGCAAAGGAATGCCAAAAAAATATTGCTTTCATTGTTTGGAAAACACCACCTGGCATAAACCTAAACACCATCTTTAAATTGGAGATGTTTTCATTGCCAAGGGGGAGCTGAAGGGGAGCCTAACCCCTGCCATCCAGCAGGGCACGTCCTCAAACCAAGCAAAAGCCCCAAGCCACCTTGCAATGTAAGGTGGTTTGTCAGATGGCCTTCGCAAAAGGTGCCTTGGGCTTGGGGTACTTAACCTTAAATGCTGAAAATGCCAAGATGTGACAGATTAGCAGCCAATTAAGCCAAATTAACCACATGGCCCTGATCAGAACAGCACAGGAATAGGTGAAAAGGGCAATCCAGGATGCATAAAATAATTCGGTTAGAGAACGGTGCTGATAATTCTTACAGTTCTTGATGGTGACTGGCTAATCCTGCACTCTGAAAAGGGTACATAG